ATCGTGGACAACCAGCGGATTTGGAAGTGCACCGACGGCAGGCAGGGCGTCATCGTCACGGGCGGTCACGAGGCGTCGTGGGCGGGGCGCAGGCGGAGGAGGGGGAGGTGCAGGATGGTGGAAGGAAGGAGGGATGATGATGATGATGATGATGATGATGATGATGATGATGATGACGATGATGATGAATATGATGATGATGCTGATGATGATGATGCTGATGCTGATGCTGATGCCGATGCTGTTGCTGATGCTGATGCTGATGCTGATGCTGATGATGATGATGACGATGACGATGATGATGATGATGATGATGATGATGATGATGATGATGATGATGATGATGATGATGATGATGATGATGATGATGATGGTGATTGTGGTGGTGGTGATGATGATGATGATGATGCTGATGATGCTGATGGCCCCATAGAGAGCTCCACCGAAGGCCCGAGTGGGAAAGTTCGCATGCGTCTCCCCTACCCAGTACAGAGTTTCGTAGCCCAAAGGGACCTTCACCGAAGACGGTACCCACAACTGCCGTACTCCCAACTGCATATGGTTGGGCCCTTCGCCAGGCTCATTTCCCAATCATCCTCTGGTGTTGGGTCCTCATGTTTGGGGGACACTCCCCGCGTCTCCTCTTCCTCGTCCTGCTCCTCCTCCCCCTCCTTTCTCTTCTAGAGCCCCCCCCCTCATTTTGGCCCACCCCTCACACGTTTGGTGACCCCATGGGGAGCTACACCTAAGGCTCGAGTGGCTGCGCCCGCATGCCGCCACCCCCCTCACTTTTGTACTCCTCTCACATGTCTCGTGGCCCCATAGGAAGGTCCACCGAAGGCCCCAGTGGCTGCGCCCGCATGCCGCCACCTCATTTTGGCACACCTCTCACACGCTTCGTGGTCCCGTAGGGAGTTTCACCGAAGGTCCCAGTGGCTACGCCCGAATGCAGCCCCCCCCCTCACTTTTGCACACCACTCATACGTTTCATGGCCCCACCGGGAGCTGCACCTAAGGCCCCAGTGGTTGCACCCGCATGCCGCCACCCCCTCATTTTGGTACACCCCTCACACGTTCGGTGGCCCCTGTAAGGGGACTCCACCTGAGGCCACAGTGTCTGCGCCCGCATGCCGCCACCCCCTTCATGTTGAAGCACCCCTCACACGTTTCGTGGCCCGATAGGGAGCTCCACCTAAGGCCCCAGTTGCTGCGCCCGCATGCCGCCACCCGCTCATTTTGGCACACCCCGTTCCGGCTGACCTCCGCGCCCCCATGCGGCTGCCCCAGCTGCAGCGCCCGCAAGGCGGCCCCACCCCATTTCGGCGCTCTCTGCACGCATTTCACTGCTCCGTCGGGAGCTCCAGCGATGGCGGTTCCCACACCGGCGGTACCCACAATTGCATCTGCTTGGGTATGGTGCCAGAATATACATTTTTGCTGGGGTGCTACGGATGCGGCACGTTGCGCAGCTCCACAGTCTTCGGGACAGCATTGCTTATGTATACACATATACAGATACACAAACATCTTGAGCGTGCACGGAGGTCGGGACGGCGGACGGGGAGAGAGACGCATACTAGTCTGAACGCGAAGCTTAAAAGGCGAAGCCAGGCTTGGCGACGAGGGCATACCAGGAGACCCGAAGAGGCGCGAACGTGGGAAGAGGGCAGCGGTATCAGTACTGCCGATACCGCTGCCCTCCTCGTCGATCCCTCCGCCTCCTCCTCCTGCTCCTCCTCCTCCTCCTCCTTCTCGCTCCTACTCCTGGGGTGCTCTCTGACCAGAACCGACCAGACGTGCCGACGAGCGCCCCCCAGAGCGAGAAGCGGTATCGGCACCTCTTCCTCCTCCGCCCCGTCTCCCTGCTTCTGGAGCCCGACCGCCGCTGGCTTTCGGGCCACCAGCTCGTGCCTCCGGCGGCCGTTCGGGACGCTCCGGGCACCCCCTGGACGCCTCTCGGCAAGTCGCAGCCGCTGGAGAGCACCCTGAGGCTGGACAGCCTCAGAGAGAGTGTCGGCGGCGAGCGAGGGGGGGAACGAGACGGAGACTGCCTTCTCAGAAGGCGGGCCTTCTGAGAAGGCCCGCCCGTTCTCTCTTCCCCCAGGGCTCGCCGCCAAGAAAGAGAAGACGTCCAAAAACCTCGAACCTCGAATGTCTGCGTTGGATCGCACTTTCTCGCACTCGAGCCGAGCATCGTTGCCACCGATGCACGGTAGCTGAGGGCTGGTGCACATGCAAAGGGCAGGAGTGTTTTGCAGCGCGTGATTGCATATACTTTGCGCGAGTAGCTGCAGGGGTGTATGCATGCATGTGCACTTACTCCTCGTCAATTCTTGAAGCGATGCGTTGCCACCGAGGCTGTGGTCTAGAAGTCATCAGACACGTCCTAGAGCCAGGCGGAACAATTGCTCAATCACAGCTTCAGAGCTCTTCGGTTTCACCGAACCTCGAACCTATGTACCTTCTCCTCCGAGCGGCAATGCTAGCCCCAGAATGAACAGGCAGGACTCCCCTCCTTCCTCGTTCAGGGTGGGGGGGACAATGTTCCCGGCGGCGAGAGATGTGTCATTCTCACCCCGCGGTTGCGGCGGCTACGGGGCTGCGCCGTTTCGGCTTCTGCTGCCTGCTATGGTTCGCGCGATGTCGAGAGACGTGGCTTCCGCGACATTGGGCCGCTCAAGCATGTGTTAACTCTTGTTCCCAATTGTTTCTATACGGTGGGGGTGGGGTGTTCATTAAGGAATGCCCATAATGCTCCAGACCCTGGAGGATCCCTCATCTGATGAGAGCGGCGGTGATCTCCGTGTCCAAGCTTCAATTGGAGTTCCACCAGCTCCCAGGCCCTGGACTCCTTATCCAATGGCTCCTTATCCGATGCCATCGCCGTGGCTCCTGGACTCACATTATCGATATCTGTCCCGCGTGGTGCCGAAGGGAAAGGCTTTGGCGATCTTGGGCCGCTCAGGCATGGATGCATGCAACGGAGGACCAAGTCGGGGGCCCCGGGGCCGCGACCCCGACCGCAAATGGGGGTGCCATGGGCGGGTCCCGCATGTGGGGGACCCAAAACCGTTTCTGAGAGCCACCGGACAGCCGTTACGGCGGCCAAAGAAGGCCCCGAGTCACCCCCACGACGTCCTCCAGGGGTCTCCGACGGCCCATGATGCGTCTCAAACGGCCCAAGAGGCGCCCACGACGCTTCAAGACCGCTCCAAGAGGACCCTCAAGAGGTCCTCGAGAAGTGACAATCGCCACAGTCCCTTAGCAAACCGTGCGTTTTTTGCAGATTCGCCTTATTGGTTTCAACTTGGTCCAGGACGACCTCAGAGGTCTCCACAACCGCCCCCAGACTGCCCCAGTTGCCCCCAGAGTGGCCCTGGACGGCCCAAGAGGGCTCCAAGACAGACCAAAGTGCCCCGTGGACGGCCCGAGAGGGCCCAAGGATGGACCCAAGAGGGGGAACCCGCAGTGCCATGTCTATCCCTCCGCCCAAAGATGACCCCCGAGGCCGCTACCATGCCCCCAACAGGCCCCCAACAGGCCCCCAACAGGCCCCCAACAGGCCCCCAACAGGCTCCCTCAGTGGGTTGCGCTCCCCCTCCTTCTCCTCCTCCTCATCCTCCTCCTCTTCCTCCTCCTTCTCCTTCTCCTCCGCCTCCTCCTTTTCCTCCGCCTCCTCCGCCTCTTCCTCCTGGGTGGCTCCTGGCTGGCCCCCTATTCGCCCCCTGCAGCTGTTTTGCCCGCGGGGGCGCGGGACGCGCCAGCCATCGGGAGCCCCCAGCCCCAGGCCCCGTCAGGCGACTGGTGCGACCGCCGCGGAGCGCGGCTTGCAGCGGCGGCACGGAGGCGGCGGGAACCGCGGCTTCCTCCCCCGCTGCCTCATCCACGCGCGGAAGGCCGCCATCACCAGGGTGGCATCGGAGGCTGCGCAGGAAGCGCGGGCAGGCTCGCTCGCTCCTGCGCCTCCACCGCGCCGCCCACGTTCTCCGCCAACACCACGGGTCCCGTCCTCCAGGACCCGTGCCAATGGGCAAATCGGGCCGCCAGGGTGAGCCCCGCGGCCCGCCCAAGGGGCGATGGGCGTGTACCGCGACAAGGCAGTGTGGTTTCCAGCGCAATCCTGCTGGCAACGACCGTTGCTATCGCTGCGGGCGCGATCGGCAAGGGCGGCCAGATCCAGCCGGAGGCGGGCGTGCACCAGCAGGACAAGGCCCCAGACGGTCTTCGTCCGCAGGCGCGGCGCGACGTGCTGCAAGCGGAGGCGGTCGGGATGCTGCCTAAGTCGGATCAGCCCCAGAGGAGGTGGATCCCGTGGCGCGGGCACGGAAGGCGCTGCAGGCCTTACAACGCCTCCAGCTGGACGACACCAGCGACCTCATCATCACTGCCAAGAGGCAGCTGGCTGAAGCGGAGGAGGTCGAGCGCGCCAGCCGCGCGCCAGACGACCTCATCCGCAGGGCGCTCGACAGGCAGACCGCCAAGCTGCGTGAGCACGAGACAGCCGACGCCGAGGTCAACACCCTCCAGCAGCAGTTGGCCGACAAGCAGGCAGCGCTCGCGACTTTCACTGATGAGCTGGCGGCGATCCGCCTCGAAGTGGATGCGGCCCGAACAGCGGCCATGGCGGCTACCATCCCGCAGGCTGGCCCCGACGGAGTTCAGGACGTTGATCAGGCTCTGGGGCGCCTTCAAGCGCTGGTGGCTGCCGCGCCAGCAGCCGTCCAGGCAGGTAGCACCACTGCGGCCCTCAGCAGCATCGGGATCCACCTGCAGGAGCTCCACAAAGCTTTACAGAAACACAAACGCAGCGTGGCACCACAAGTGGGACATGGGCCACTGCCGCCCGCTGCCCCTGTGCAGCGTGCGGGTTTGCCTTCTCACGGTCTCGACGCCTACCTACATGGAGCAGTCACAGCCCAGGACCTGGCCATGTCTATGGGCGGCCCCGCCACAGCCAGTTCAACGGCAACACTTGGTTCAGCGTCTGCAGCGACAGCGACAGCAACAGGTGCAGCCTCAGCTGCAATCGTCCCAGAGTAGTTGTGGCAGCATGACTTTCTTCGTGCCTGGTC